TAATAACCTAGTCGTAAGCCCTACTGTTGTAGTTGGCACTAAGAGGAAGAAGTGATCTGATGTCGGAAGAAATATAAGGAAATATGAGGAATGTCATGATGAATGTCATTGTACCGGCTATATAATGTGAGTTACTGTATTGCGTCTTACTAACGTTACTTGCACGAATTTTGCATGCATTTTCTCCACCACTTAAAATTATAATAGTTCTAGCTCCAACTGAAAACTAAAAATCATGACAAATTGTATTATTGCATGCGATTTCGCCGAATTATGCAATATGAATTTGGATATATTTTAGAGCTGTTCAAATATGCAGTCATATTGAAAAGACGGTGAATAAAACTTTGAAAAGTTCAAAGGGTTTTTTGTGTCAATTCATGAAATCGAAGATACATTTATAGCGTAGGGCCTGATGAGGAAGTAGCAAGTAGAAACAAAAATTTCTAGACTCTAAACTTAAGCTACAATCAGCTTTCTTAGAAATGGAACTCGCGTCGGAACAGTTTGTTTATTTATCAGGATCTCCATTAGTATAAATTTGACACAATTAGTGCAAATCTTGCTGGAGTCCGTTAAAGAGATTCATTTGTCACGTATAGATACAGTTACTAGTGAATTCTTTCATCAGTGACAACTTTGGAAGGATAAGGATACTAACCTCCAAATTTTCGATGGCTATCAGTCCATCTTGTTCACGCGAGAGCGCGAGACTAGGCCTGAGACTTGCATCGGTCAGAAGGTGGGGAACTCCCCAAGACTTACATGTACTTACCCTTACTCCGGAGGGAGGCAACAGGGGGTGGGACCCGACAGACCGATGCAAGTCTCGGGCCTAGCTAGTCTCGCGCTCTCGCGAGGTTAGGCCACTCCGTGAACAAGGTGGACTAATTGCCATCGAAAATTTGGAGGTTAGTATCCTTATCCTTCCAAAGTTGTCACTGATGAAAGAATTCACTAGGAACTATTCCTGGAGTCCGCAGTGCATCACCAACTTTCGGATAGTAGTAAATTGTATCACACACAGGAGGATGTCCCTGTCTTTTTCGAATTGTGTGATGGGTTCTTTGACTTGCGTGGGGTATGGATCTCCCCAACACGGGACCTTAATTTAACGTTGTATCCGAGGGACGTCCTTAACCAAAGATAGGTACTCTGCTCATTTTGACCCCACCTGCGCCACGTATGTGCGACACATTCTTATATATAAGTGGGGTCGTGTAGCGTAACAGTAGAGTGTTCGGCTCAGACCCAAGAGGTCCCGGGTTCGAATCCTGCCCGATGCCACCGCCCTTAGGAAAGGCACTTTACACGACTTTTTCTCAGGTGTGTACTTAGCTTCGGTTAGGGACATCCCTCGCGGATAGGACGTTAAATGGAGGTCCCATGTTTATTGTTTATTAGACCGATCTCCATTAGTTTGTATAGTTGCCCTACATACTATTCTTCCTGGAGAATGTTCCATGTTTGGGAGAGCCACACCCTACGTTAAAGAACCCATCACACTTACCCATATATCGCACTTATCGAAAAGAGTAGGGGTCCTTCCCGGTGTGAGTGGTTTAAACCTTACAGTGCGGTCTTACATAGCTTGTAATTATATGTACAGATCTGGTGTGTTAGGCCTAAAAAGACGGTTTATCGGTTAAGGCCACACCAAGTAAATTTTGTGGATGACGTCCGCGCGCGCATTGATTTTGGCCTGTTCCTAGAAAAAAAACACAAGAAATTCCGCTTCCTGTAACTATGACTAAAGAGTCACAACAGTGCCACAAATCGTCAGATTGACGTGAAACCCGTAACGCGAGAACAGGACATACAGGACGACAACTGCTGTTCCACCTGATTTATTGCTGTTTTGATGATGAATAAAAGACTTCTTGCTTGTTACACTGTCACCACATTCAATTTGTGTCCTAACATTTGTCATCTCTTAGTATATTTCTAATCTAGGCATCTTGTTCTTTAGGGCCCTTCTTGTTTTTTTTTCGCCCTCTCGCATTAGATTTAGGGTCTCCAAAGGACGTCATCCATAAAATTTACTTGGTGTGGCCTAACATGCAAAACAAACTCCGACTGTTAAGATATAAAGACGCCATGTACATATAATGGCACAACAAACTGTCCACTTGGAGCAAGAGTTATATTTTGCATAGAAAAATTGCGTATACAATAGTTTGCTTACAAATGACTTGGATATTTTTGAATTTCTTAACTGAACACAGTCACTTTACACTTATATTTACCAGTATGCTTATAATATACATGTCAACCATTAACATGTATTTTCTTTAAAACGCCTCCAATTTTCTGACTGAATATCATTGATGTGTTCAAATTCTTATAAGTCAACCGTGTATTTTCTCATCAACTTGTATTAATCAAAAGTTTATTGTCTCTTAAGTCTCTACTAATTAACCCACCATTATTAAGTACATTGTTCTGGATGATAAAATGGCACTATCACATATCACACTGAATTATCTAACCTCAGATATATATGTTAGAATGGGCTCAATTCATCGCCTTCATCCATTTAGCTACTAATTATCAAGAAAGCTATTCTCTAAGTGTCTTTCTTGTTTAGGCCATGTTGATTTGATTATATGGATGACATCCGCGCGCGCATGAATTTTCGGCCGTTTCCAAAAAAAAAAAGAAGTTTTCAACCATACTGTAAATCGTACAAAACAGTTGCAAAATGAGCAAAAATATACCATAAGTTACAAAAAAAATTAATAAAAACTATACCAATGTCGTAGAATGCCAAAATCAAACGAAAAAAGACGATATTGTAAAGAAATGAACTTGAAGACTAGATTATTCGCCAAACCATATTCTGCGCCATTTGCTCAACCCTCATGACTACGTAGATTTCATGATGAAAAGAACTTTTTTTTAAACTTTTTTTTTATTCGCACGCGCGCATCGGTTTTAGGGCTCCCGGAGGATGTCATCCATATAATCAAATCAACATGGCCTTAGTTAAAAACCTGCCTTCACCATGGTATGTGCTTTTTACAGTGAGATGAAATGTCGAAAGCTAAAATGCAATGCAAAATAGCCAAATTCAAGCATGACTAAAGCGACGGTCACAACCCGCCGTACGTGCTTTTTCTCCGTACGTGTTTTGGGAGGCTACGTCTGCTACGTTTTTTCTGAAAACGTGGGGAAGGAGTGGCATCGACGCACGTCACTCGCACAGTTGAACAAAGTGTAAGAGTGTGGTCTGCACGCCTAGTCTGGCCGTGAGCGGTTGCGTGCATCGTACGTTGCGCAAGTGGTGAGTTGTACGTGCTTACAACGTACGATCTCTGTGCGATTGCAACTTTACTGTAAGGAGGCCGCACTCACACGTGCTTCTTCCGCACGGCACGTACGGGTTGTGACCGTCGCTTAAAGCTTCGGTCACAACCCGCCGTACGTGCATCTGCGTGCTGTCTACGTGCAAAAACGTGGGCAAACGTAGGGCATCCGTGCGTGGTGAGTACCGCCTCCGTACGGAATCCAACGGATTTGGGAGCACGCAGACACGCCGTAGAACTCTATGTGCATGTAAAACTTTTTCTGCGAGCGGTCTGCGGATTCACCACCCGCGCGTGCCAAAAATAAGCCGAATACTAAACTCTGCTTGGAGAGTAGACAAGGTGCTATCTAGCCTGGGTACCATCCTACTTGTATGCCGGGGCTCCCACACTCGCTTCCCTAACAAGTAGGGAAGCGAGTGTGGAAGCCCCGGCATACAAGTAGGATGGTACCCAGGCTAGGTGCTATCCTCCGTTAATCTACAAAACAGGTTGGTATGTGACATGTGCTTTTTGAGCTAACATGTATGATGACTTCTGATTGATTTCTATCTGGGTTGTCCTCATCCCATCACCAATCAGAAAACCTGTACTAATCGGAAAAAAAACAAACACATATACTAAATTCGTTTCAAAAAGTGCCAAGACTCTCCACATGCAAACACTGGACCCTCAACTTTAAACATCTCCCTCAATGGACTGCATGCGAACTGAGTTCCACAACCTCAAAAACTCACATACATACTATCGTGAAAGTTCATCTGTGTTGCTAGTTACATGTTTAAAGTTAAGACTTTTGGTCCAACACAAAAAAATTGTTTCATTTGACACTGTAAGGATTTTAGACACTGAACAAGACTATTTCTTGAGAGGGGTGAAGGAAGCCATTTACATCAGGGCCCATCACCCTACATTGAACCGCGACGGGGGCCGACATCGTCTACCAGATACCTTTGACCCAGTGTTGACGTCACACTTCAAAGAAGCCACGTGACAAGCTTCACTGGGTCAGTCTACTGAGGAAGACCAGAGTGACTGGTCGAAAGCTCTAGGTGAGAGAATTTTTTGTGTTGGACCAAAAGTCTTAACTTTAAACATGTAACTCACATACATGTTGTATAACATTGCTTTTCCGCAAATGCTTGACATGCATGCAGCAAAATAAGAGATTCCCCGGGTTAATTATGATTTTTTTCTGCTTATTTAAGGATATCGAAACTGATGATAACATGTCTAAAATGGGGAGGATATGTATTTGCGGTGAGTCTGTACAAGATTAAGTAGTTAAGGTTGTAAGAAGACCCAAAATGGGTCATCTATCTAATATTGTCCGTAAATTATTTTCTTGAGTTCCTTTCTGGCAAGAGAAAGCTTCAGGTGAGGATAAAAAAAAGCAATTACATGTCTAAATGTCTAGGACATTTAGTACTACCAACTATGCATACTTGCATATAATCATGACTACATTGTGTGTTTAAGTCTACAGCCAAATGCTGAGTTGCTTAATATTTGAACACTCAATAAATGCAATGCCCCCCTCCCAAATTGTTTACACATTATTGTGTATCATTTGTCTCAACCAGAAAATCAGAGACAAAAAACATCAAACACTTTACTGAAAATCGTATTTCGAAAGTAGGAAGCACCTGATTTTCTGAGTGTATAACAGTAGCTAAAACGGCCTTCAAGTATTTTACATCTGATTCTACAAAATGAGCCCTACTTTTAATCAATGTTTTTCTGAGTTGGTACTTAAAAAAAAAGGAATACCCTTATTAATAAGATTTTCTGTATTTCATATATCATATCAAACCTCTTGCTAAAAGAGTCATCCCTTCTTTTAGAAAGACACCAGAATATTTTTGAAAGAAATATTACATATCTCTAGCTTATATCTCATTCAAGAGATGGTTATGTGTAGAAGGGGAGGTAAGAACACTTGGTCTACTGTCGGATCTCCACAAAATTTGCTGGGAACAGGCCCACTTGTCCGTGGCACTCCCCGCGCCACCAGCCTTCGTCAATCTGAAAATAGAAAATAAAATAATAAAGACAAAAAAAATTCCTAACTAGAATGGTAACATTTGCAAAGCAAATGCATAATGTTTCCCTTTGAATATGGCCAGCTCTTTTAATTCTGTCTCAAACACATTCATATATACAAGGAGGTTAAATACAAGATATATATAATATTATATATATATAACAATGTATGGTGACAGGAGTCTAAATCCCTCCTGCTATAAAATTGCAACATGATGTAACCCAACACTAGTTACCATAGTGACAGACGTCTGGTTCAGGTCATTGACCTTATTTGTTTGGAGAAGAAAAATAGGAAACTGAGCAAAAACGAATATGTTTTCCTTTGGTAAACGTACATGTAACAATAAATGCATGTCAAACAATATGAGCTTACTATAATTGCTTTCACATTGTGCATATGTGTATCTATACATAATTTTGATTCATATTCATCTATCTACATGCACCCTTGCCTTGTTAAAAAAAAGACAAGATCATGTAATGAAAATTGAGAATGTCGGCTTTACCATCTCAATGTTGGTGATGACATCCTCTGGGTCAAATGATATTTCATCTTCAGCCGCTGTAAAAAAAAATACACATAATCATGAGTTAACTCTATGTTGCCATGTTCAGAATCACTGGCTGAGAATCAATGTAGATTCTCAGCCAGTGAACTGGCTCAGAATCTACATTGTACCTTCACCAGAAAATCTACCAGGAGAAACAGCAAGGGGACTGTTCCAAAAATAGAATAACTATTTTTTGTGGCGTGTACATGTATGTTAGGCCACACCAAGTAAATTTTATGGATGACATCCTTTGGAGACCCTAAATCTAATGCGAGAGGGCAAAAAAAAACAAGAAGGGCCCTAAAAAACAAGATGCCTAGATTAGAAATATACTAAGGGACAACAAATGTTAGGACAAAAATTGAATGAGGTGACACAGTGTAAAAAGCAAGAAGTCTTTTATTCATCATTTATTTATTCATCAAAATAGCAATAAACCAGGTTGAATAGCAGTTGTTGTCCTGTCCTGTTTTCGCGTTACGGGTTTCACGTCAATCTAATGATTTGCGGCACTGTCGTGGTCATAGTTACAGGAAGCGGAATTTCTTGTTTTTTTTCTAGGAACAGGCCAAAATCAATGCGTGCGTGGACGTCATCCATAAAATTTACTTGGTGTGGCCTTAGGAGGAGGTACTACTCACCGGCTTGGTAGTCATACAGAGCGATGGCAGTGATTTCTTTACTGAGACTGCCCACATCTGTGTAGGTCTCCCCATCTCCCTCTGGTGGGGCCTCATAGTCATTAGCATCATCCTGAAACAGATCAACAAGAAACATCTTATTATTATTAGGCAACAGCTTCAAATAAGATGGTCCTGATAGTGAATTCAGCACCAAGGGCAGGCCCTACATCAGTGCAAAAGGGGGCCTTTACTCAATTTTGGTCTTTAGTAGCTTGTACATACTGTTAAAATAAATAGATAAAGCTGTTAAGTCTTTTCTAACTGGATAATTGAAAGTTTAATGTGTAATCGTTTCAAGTACCATCCGGTACTCTTCATCAGTACAAAGTGAGGAAATTTCCGGTACAAGAATTAAGTTCTAAATAAACAAAAATAATCCATGTTCTAAAGTAGGTTCTAAATAAACAAAAGGTAACTGACAAGTTCTAAGAAACAATCTAAAGGTAATCTAAATAAACAAAAGGTAACTACCAAATATATACAAAAAGGAAAGAAAATAACTAATAAAAACCTAAAGTACGGAGTTACAAACAAAAAAATATCTGAATAAGATTATTGCGTTACAGAGCGATGTCCCAAGAGCTGGAAAGATCAAATCTTAACCCCCCCCCCTTTCTGTTTAAAGATAGCCGATAAATATGTTCAAAGATAGACTCCCTTACCCCCGTTCAAACCACCTAGACACGTTAAACTTTCAATTATCCAGTTGGAAAAGACTAAACAGCTTTATCTATTTATCGTATTCCTGGATGAGTAACCTTCACCAACGTACTGTTAAAATAGTTTATAATGCCGTGTTTGGGACAGTTTAGTGGTTGACTAACAGGTGAACACTGAAATATCAGGACATTGAAAGTTTGTCTCTTTGGTATAAATCATTATGAAGCAAATTTAAACAGTATTTTCTAACACAAGAAATATGGGACGTACCAAAATTTCATCTGTGTTGGTAGTTACATGTTCATAGTTAAAACCTTTGGTCCCATTACACTAATAATCGTTCTCTCCTAGAGCTTTCGGCAAGTCACTTTCAGACTGGTCTTCCTAAATAGACTGACCAAGTGAGACTTGTAAGGTGGCTGGTCAAAAGCTCTAGGTGAACCATTCTTTGTGTTGGAACAAATGAAAGTCTTCACTTCAAACAAATGCAGACATTAGTTTAGAATGAAAAAGTTCTATTTCGTCTCATACAGTTCTAGCTTTGCAGACTAAAAAATATATTTTTCCAGTGATTTGGGAAAAAAACGCCTGCATTACGAGCAATCCTTATGACATCATGTATAGTAGAGATAGACTCATATTTTTTAGCCATGTATTAAGTATATTTCCCCACTTCATATGTTTGACTAGTAAAGAGAAATTTGTATTTCTTTTAACTTTTGATAAACCTACTATAAGTAATCTCACAGCCGCATATATCCATACAATCACTACTAAGCGAGATGAAGCCGAAAAGAATAGAAATTAGACATTTATTTACACTCTTATATGTTCATATGTATGTAATGTATATGTTTATGTTCATGTTCTGTACCCATGCGACCTGTACTTAGTTCTGTAGAACACAAATGTACAATAAAGGTCTTCATTCATTATAAGATTTCTGAACATCCAGACCAACCTGTTCTCCCACCTCCTGATACACGTCCTCTTCTTCATACTGTGGCTGAGCTGGCCTGGTGGGCTCCGGTTCTGGTTCATAGACCTGGGGAGAATATATAAAATTATCAATAATTTTAGATTAATCAATTAACCCACAGACTGACCAAGGGAACAAAAGATTAAGTTTTACAAAGATATGAACATTTGCAAGATTTGTTCTCTACAGACTGTATATTCTATGGTCATTTTCTAGGAGGTCCTTGGTTCTTACAGTAACATCAGTTCTGTGTTTACATGTAGAAAAGAGATGCACAAAAGACTTGGAAAGACTAGTACCTTCTTAGTTTTCTTTGTTTTCTACATGATGAGAAAACATTCCATAGGCAAGACATGTTCAGAAAGATCAACTATTGGTTAGGAATAGGAATGCAATAAACACAATCTTGCCAGCAACATACAACATACAAGTACATGTATGTGTGAATGACATTGCATGTACACACTTTAATGCTGATTCCAGATACCAAACTACAGTGATCTGGTAGTTTGGTAGTTGGACTCAGTATAAGCCTGGGTGCCATCCTCCATAATATAGTTTTGCCGGCTCCCTAATGTCACTGGCTACCATGGTAGAGGAAGGCACCCAGGCTAACTCAGGATACAGGTCTAGAGGTCTTGGGTTCTAATGCCAATGGGACCCAATGTTTGGTAGTTGATCTGAGGATTAGCCTGGGTGCCATCCTCCATATAGTTTTGCTGGCTCCCTAGTGTCACTGACTACCATGATAGAGGATGACATCCACAAAACAGTTGCCATGGACCTTTGGGCTACCATTGTAGAGGATGGCACCCACACAGAGCCTATACACCTTTAACCCTTTTATCCTAAGACATTGTACAGGTAAGGGTAACTATGTTAACCCTGCGTTTGGTCACACCTGTTCAGGTTCTGGTTTTGCAGGGCCACGACTGGGCAGTTCAGGAGGAGGCTCGTACACAGGGTCTGACTCAGGCTCAGCCTCATAGATATCCTGTTAGTAGGGTTTGCCACAGCAAGGATAAACAAAAACAAACAAACAAAAACAAAACACACAACACATGCAAAACAGAAGCAGGCTACTACCAAGGAGCTTTCATGAAAGCTCCTTGCTACTACAAAGTTACTATAGCTGTCAACTACATTTTCGTACATAAAGCACACTATTTTTGGCAAAAAACTAACACAAACACATGGTAGAATTGTCTAAATAAAGGAAATAGTCTTTACAATTGGCAAAATTCATTATGGCTTAAATGCTACTGCACCTATACTGTTAAAATTGTGAGGAACATGCTACAAAACAAGTAAGAACAACTTGAATGAAAACAAAAAAGAAGTGAACTCCACAGCCAGACTCACAACACATCAGCAGAAGGCAGCTTAACTACATGTAAGTTTAAGTAATAAAGGAAATGTTTTGAAAAGAAAATTTTAGAGAATTTCATCAGGAACTTTCATCATTGTGCATATTTCCCTATGTGGGGTCGTGTGGCGCAACGGCAGAGTGCTCAATTCGGAACCAAGAGGTCCCGGATTCGAGTCCTGACATGCCAGCAATCACATGCCCTTGGGAAAGGCCCTTTATTCTACTTTTCCCACTTAACTCAAGTGAAAATGAGTATTGTCCTGTCCTGTATCTGTTTCTATGTGTACGACACAACACCAGCAACAGCTGCCTGTGTCCCACATGTCTTGCAATGTTGCAATTTCAACAAGAATTCGGAGACCGCATACCTCCATGAAATATATGAGATTTTCTAAATGTTTTTACACAGTACACTACAGTACAGAAAGAAATAACACAGGTTTTTGGTTTCAAACACACAGTAGCACCTTTGGCCTGGATATGGTCATGTAGGCTTTTCCCTTGGGAGAACCTCATTAATCAAAACCGGGCAGGCGCTGCCTCCACCCCGCACATCTGTTTTCCCTGCCACCTCGCAAATCTGTTTTCCCGGAAGTTCTGCTGCAGTGCCAAGGTCAGCCACCAGGAGGCCCATATTTGACCTTGACCTTTGGCTTCCTAAGACCTACCAGCATACCAAATATCATCACAATCCATAAAGGCGTTCTGAAGTTATGCTGAGTACAAATGTGTGGAAACACACACACACACACACACACATACACACACACACACAGATGCGCCAAAAACAATACCTCCAGTTTTCATGGAGGTAATAAATCAAATCATATATTTCCCTATATCACCTGCTGTGGTTCTGCCTCATATGTAGGCTCCTGTTCATATGTGGGCTCTGCTTCGTAGGTTGGTTCTGGTTCCGGCACAGCTGCCTTTCTCTCTGCCTCTTCTTGCTCCATAGCTCTCCTACGAGCAGCTTCTTCTTCCTTCCTCTTGGCTTTCTCAGCCTGGGAGATGGAGAAAAATTAAGGTCCAAGAAGTTGCTGTGGTTTCTTGTGAGGAAAAGATTGCCGTGACCTTTCATTCTCTTCTTTTTCTTTCAGTATGGTTGGTTACCAGGGCTCGAAATTCTTTTTTTTATAGCACGGGTGCACCCAGCTTGAAAAATTGGGTGCACAAAAGAATTTGGGGTGCACCATATAAAATCATATTAGATAAATACTTCAACAAAGCTTTTATTCTTTCACTTTGATGTCAAGACTATATACTACTATACATACGTACAAAAATAAATGGGTGCATTGGTGCACCCACAGAAAAAAATTGGGTGCACAGCTCTAATTTTGGGTGCACTAAGGTGCACATGCATGTACCCAGTATTTCAAACCCTGGGTATCCTAAAGTATAACATGTAGAATTTAACAAAAAATTCTCACTTCCCTACAAAGACATTGTTTTAGAGTCACCTCCAGAGCTGTTCAGAAAAAAATGAATTCAGATGAACTCCTTTTAATATCTTTAAACTGTCAAGATCAGAATGTCTAACCTGCATTGTACATCCAGCCTTTATGTTAAAGAAAAACATAATCTATTATAGATTAGCTCTAATACTGAGTCACCAACATTAGTGAAAGAAAGGGACACATTATGGAAAAGTAGGAAAGAAAAGATAAAGGAGAGTTAGTTGTTTTTTCCACACCTCAGCAGCTTTCTTGTCTGCCTTGCGAGACTTGCCTCCGTCCTTGTAGGATTAGGAGAAAAAGACAGACAGGAAAGTGAAGGAAGCACAAAAGCTAGAAAATTTGTTGAGAGAGAAGGTAATAAGATAAGAAGATAAGACACATGACTTAATTGTGAGGGTTCACAGAAAGACCATTCAACTTTTTTAGGCATACCTGTACTGGCGCAACATCGAAAATTTCCTGCATTACTTAAAATTTAGGAAGTATGAATCGTTACTAAAAACTGTTCCGAGATCATTGCCATTATTTCTTATACTTCATAGGTGGTAACAGTCAATGCAGCAAATAAAAATTCACATACACCTACCTTGACATCAGAAATACCTGCCCAGCTCCAATTTTACCTGCACTAACCTGCATATGCAGGTGGTATTTTGAGCCCTGACTGTGTATATGGGGTACGCTGTAATTGCATGATTGTTGCATTTAGCAAGCACATTTTTCTCTGTGTGTACTTGGAAAGGGAATATCTCTGAGAAACAAGACTACAGACTGAGATACAAACCTTCTTCCTGATGCGGAATGTGCTGAGAGGTACAGGTGGGAGTGGAGGCAGTGGTAGCGAGCGCAGGTACTGTACAGATCATAGTAGTGACAGTGCAAGAAAGAGAGGCACAGAAATACACGTACATGTACTGACAGGAACATGTTAGTGTCTGTTTACAGTTAGCAACTGCTGGAAGTAAGAAATACCTACAAAAAAAGTAAATAATGTTATAGCCGAAATTACTATATTGATGATAAACTCTTCTATTTCAAAACCAATTCAGTAAAAACAACTGCCGGTTCAGTTTCAGTTTCAAACACACACCCAGTCTTTAAACTGACAGGTGCACTTTACCCTCAGCTAGTCTCTCTTTCATAAATATTTACTTTCAAGCTGGTAATATGATGTTTAGTCACCCTAATTCCTTTATGTTTTTCCTCTTTGCTTTCTATGTTTCTCACCAACTGTCCAATAATATCTTTTTTAAAGCTATCAATGCAGAGCTACATTTGATCGATGAGGTACATGTACAGGCAGACTATTGCTTACAATACCATGCAGCATCCTAATGCAGAGAGGATAGAGCAGGGAGTGAGGGAAATAAATAAAAAGGAAGCAGGAAATGATAGTGGAGAGATTGGGTAAGGATAATAGATGACCTGATTCACTCTGTCAGGCATAGGACGTGTACAAAAAGTGCATACCCATGCAAGCAAACAAAAACTGCATATGTTGAATTGCGCATTTTGAGAACATATGATCACTGTTAGACTGTTTAAAAAAGAAACTCGGCCCACCTCCAGTCTCTTTAGTTCAGCCTCCTTTTCTGCCTTGGCCTTGGCTTCGCGACGTGACCGCTCCTCTGCAACCCTCTTTGCTGCTTCTTCCTCATTGGCCTTTGCCATGTTCTCGAACTTCGCTTTGAGATTACCAGCACCTCCACCACCTAGATGTACAATTATTATAATAAAAAGTATAGTCAGATTTTTTACAACTCTTATAACAATTAACACTAGAAAGGTAACATTTGCATATATAATACACATGGTCTGCCCTGTTAATTCTTACTCGAACACATTCATAAACTAGTATATGGTCAGACAGGAGTCTAAATCCCTCCTGCTATAAAATTGCAACATTATTTAACCCAACACCAGTCACCATGGTGACAGACGTCTGGTTCAGGTCATTGACCTTATTGGTTTGGAGAAGAAGAAGAGGAGGAAACAGAGCAAAAACAATATCAACTGTACATACCATATTATTAAGATCATCTAAAAATAGCAAATACGAGAACTTATGGTGTGAGATGCACTTTTTGCACAAAATGTAACCAAAATGTAAAAAAAGTTCTAGACATGACTATGTGTGGGAAAGGAGAAGAAGGAGTACCCACTAATGTACATGTACGCAGAACTGAAGTGGAAGGAAGGCAGAGAATCCTAGCAAGAAGTCTAAAAGGAAAAGAAAAGGAAAAACATGTAATAAAGAGGAGTGAAGAAAGTGCAAACTTTAAGAAAGAAAAGCAACTACAACATGTACTTCATGTACTACATGTTGTATACTAACTTCAACAAATAGAAAAAAATAGAAGACCAATAGAATGATAAGAAAATCTGATGACCCAAAAAAAAAAGTCAAAATTCAGGTGTACGTACGGACTTCAGGCCTTGTTCTCTGGTAAGAAGAGCTGGGTTTCTCCACATCTCCAAACCCATGGGCAGACTGGGAGAACAAACAACAAAAGATGTCATTCTATACTCATTCAATATGATAAACATTGCAGCACATCAACTGTAATATGTATAATCTTAGTGTATCAATGATGTTGAATATCTGTATGAGTTCATAGTTCTAAAATGCATTGTATTTTATCAAAGAACACTTTCACTGTTGAAAAGACTGTTGAAAATGGTCTAAAAAACATGCACATGTAAACATGATACAGCATTCATTCTAAGTTCCAATTAAAAAGGGCTCTGATAGCTAAACAGGATCATTAGCATCCAAGTTAATATAATATCAAAACAATTTCTAAGACAAGGCCTACTTTAAAGCTTCTTTTCAAGCTCAACGTCAATCAAGTTTTTCTATCCCAGAATTCACCTGGTCCACCCTGTCAGTTTCCACGCCAAATTTCCCGCCAAAACCTTTCTTGGTGTCCGTCTGTGACGGGTGAAGTTCTGGTTTGGTCTGGTCCTCGTAGCCCACGGCAGATTTGTCCATTCTGTCCTTCTGTACACCAAACTTCCCCCCGAATCCCTTGGAATAATCTGGAATAAACAAAAACAGAGCAGAGGTTGTCTGAGTTTGGGCTTTTCCATGTACATACATGACATGGGGAGGGGGGATCTGAAATATTTCATGAGCTTTTATTTTAAGTATAATTTTATTTTTTATATTTAAATTATCAAATTTTCTGTTATATGCAGTTTGTTGTAATATACAAAAAATTATTCTGATAGCCTTTTAAATTTTTTTAGAAAAAAATTTAAAAAAAATGTTGATCCTTAAAAATACAGGATTTCTTTACTAGTAAACAATTCAAACTTTTGCAAAACACTAATTTTCAGAGATACTGCCTTTTTCTGAATTCGTTTGAAACATTTTGAGAAAAAAATTCATAAACTGTTCATCTTTACAAATACAGGGCAAGTCTTTCCTTTAAACACTTCAAACTTTTGCACAACAATAATTTTCCTTCTTCTGCACACAATTTCTTTCAGTAACATCACACACAAAACCACAGAGTTTATTCAATGTAAGAGTGAAGATATCCTGTTGGTTTTCCGTATCACCTTGCTGCGATTCGTGTTTCTCTAACTTTTCCTGGTGTTCGTAGCCGAGCGCCGACTTGTCCACGCGGTCTTTCTGTACGCCATATTTGCCACCGAAGCCGTGAGAATAATCTACGTGTACAAGTGCACAAGCATGGGTTAGGAGAGCAAGGGGAATCTATGGGGGAGGGGGGTGAGACTTCAACTACTAGTAGCATTCTATCAAGCATTAGCACGTCGGCAGAATGTACTGCACCTGCGCAAAACCTGTAACATCCGTGTCCATAATATCGCCTCCTTGAGAAATAGTGTGCTTTAAGATATTTTTACTGCAACATACCCTAGGTATGTACATTTGAGGTGTGCAGGAGTGCATACCAAAAGTATGTTGCAGTAAAAAATATCTTTAAGCACACTGTTTCTCAAGGTGGCGATATTACGGACCATGGTGATATTATGGACACGGATGTTGTATTCTTCATAGCAATGTCTCATATAAGGTCATATTCGCGTACTAGTATGTAAAGGTTAACATCCCATCTGTAGTTTCCAAATGTTATGTCGGAAAAGATGTCGTCTGTAACGGGCAAAATTCTGATGGAACATTGACTAAAATTTCAATGACACAGTACATTCTGCCTTAGAGACTAAAATGTAGTGTCCATTCTATGTAGAAGAAATGACTTGTGTACAACTTACTACAAGTGTATAACTACAGCTACATGTTTCAGACTCAAAGCAGAAGAAACTACATGTACATGAAGTGGGGAGGGGGTAGCACACTGAGAACTATAGAACATTGCTTGTAGGTTCTACTGAGTTCTACCTCAACATGCAATGCACTATGCAGAATCAGAATATGTCCATTTCTAACAAGGATGCATTATGAGTGGCTTGTGCAATGTAAAGCCCCTTGTACAAGGTACATTACAATGTATGTTGCAGTACACACATCTCACAAATGCAGCTGCATTAAGTGACAAACAGTTGAGCAAAATTATAATTTTCAAAGACACTATCTCAGTCTATAAACTAAGAAGTAACTGTTAGGCCACAGGAAGTAATCTTTATGGATGACATCAGCGCGCGCATTAATTTTCGCCTGATTTTGGAAAAAAAAAAGAAATTTTGTTGCCTTCTGACACTGGTCACCATGCCGAAAATAGGCCAAGATGTCTGTTGCCATGCCAGAAGGTGGATGGCAGATAACTATAAAGAGAGGAGACAAGACAAGGCTCTGATTTTATGTTTTGTTTCTTACTTTGATGCAGTGATATGTGATGTTGGCTGTGTATATGTGATGTTCCCATTGAATCAAAACCATTTGTACAATGATTGAGTCAAAATTTCAAAATGTAAGAACCTTGTTTTTTTCGGCCCGCCTTGTTTTTTTTTGCCCGCTCGCATTAGATTTGGAATCTGTGGAGGATGTCATCCATAAAATTTGCTTGTTGTGGCCTTATGTAGATAAGTGCAAATAGAGAAGTATACATTCATGTTGTATACACTTAAATACATTGAACAACTACTAGTACAGCATAGAGCTTTATTTTGAGAATCCAGAAACAAAGAGTCAAGGAATAAAAGGCAGTTACAAGAGAGATCTTTTTGTTCTGATGCACAACGTACCTTTCTGTGACTCGTGTTTGTCGACTTTTTCGATGTGGTCCCAGCCTACAGCAGACTTGTCCACATGATCCTTCTGTACCCCATACTTCCCTCCAAACCCTTTGGAGTAGTCTAACAGATCAAACAAGTACATTCATTGGTCAACATGAACAAGTAACAGTTACATTTTGAATAGATTTGGTAGCTATAGGTAGCAGAAATCTGTAATAGTTGTACTTTTATTACAAATTTTAACATGATGATGAAGTTTTCAAATTTTGAGTTTTTGATCATAAAGTTGAAAACCTATTAACAGTAGTGCTAGTGTTATAACTTATATGTGTTTGAATCCAATGCTTGTTAAGTGGAAAATAGCAAAACATGCTGGACATTTAAATTTCCTTTAGATTTTTTTCTATAACTGTGTGAGTGTAATTATTACGATGACAATATAGTATAGAGGAAGGGATATAAAAGGGAATTGATGAACTGAACCTGGATTGAAAGAACTGGAACTTTGAAACATAAGTGAAGCATTTCTTGTGATGAAAAAAAAACTTCATAATGTTAGATAACAACACAAAGATGAACTTTCATGCAATGACAATAACAAAACTGAGTGTAAGCATCTCAAAACCATCCACAAGTTGCACAAGACAACAGCTATGGTGCCCACGGACACTGTCCAAGCAAAGACAACCTTTCTGTGAGTTGTGCTTGCTAAGTTTTTCCTGGTGCTCCCAGCTCAGGGCACACTTATCCTGACGGTCCGTCTGTACGCCGTATTTCCCGCCAAATCCGTGGGAATAGTCTTACGTACGCAGCATGAGAGAACACAGCACACACAGACAAATAAGGAATTCACGGTTAATAACTAAAATCATTCATTACCCTTGTAAGGTCAAGCTAAAAAATGTTGTGTTTCCTGTTTCAGTCCTGAAAAAATTAAGGTCGATAGGTAGGGATATATTATTTTTTTCATTTTTTTTCATTAGACTTTGGTGATGTCTGGTAATCTAACTTATACAATGCAGTTTAACAAAGTAAAACTTATATTTTCAATGTCAATGTTGCAAAACTCATTGTACAACATTTCATCGCTTAGGTGTCAGATCATGGAGCTAGAAAAGGTCGATCAACTCAAAAAATTTCATGTCCCTTGCAGGGGTCTACCCCAAAAAAGGCTAGGGTCGGCAGTTTTTTCTAGGGTCGGTCTGGAAACAGGAAACACAACATTTTTTTTCCTAGGCATAATGGTTCTGTTAATTAACTTGGCATGGGCATGAAGAAATTTGTTGTTTAGATAAGATAATAAGTGGGAATAGCCTTACAAAAAGTTACATAGACAGCATGAAAGAACACAGCACATGCACATCAACAAAGAATGTGCTCACAGTTAACAACAACATACATTACCCTTGGCAAGGGTATGAACAAATTTGCTGTAACAGTTTCATGCGTTTGGAAAACAAAGCAGAAAGTACATTTTAACATTTGCTGAGATACACTGCTGAGACACCCTCTAGATACACATATGTTGTATTGGGTACAGGGCTGGGCAAAAGGGGAGAGAATACACATTCAGGGCTCGAAATACTGGGTGCATGTGCACCTTAGTGCACCCAAAATTGGAGCTGTGCACCCAATTCTTTTCTGGGGGTGCACTGGTGCACCCAAATATTTTTGTACTAGTATTTTTGTACATATCAAATGTATGCAGGATATTCTTGGCATCTAAGTGTCAGAAAAACAATAACATCTTTGTTGTAGTACTTGTTTAAGATTTTGAAGTTAGGTCACATTGCCATTATTTTATATTGTGCACCCAATTCTTTAACTTGGGTGAACGTGCACCTATTCCCAAAAATGAATTTCGAGCCCTGCACACTAATTTTGCTAACTAGTACGTACATGTATCCCTCAATATTCATCATAATAACATTTTCAGCCATGTTTTTTTATGTACAGGAGTATGTTATATGACTGTATTACCTTTCTGTGACTCATGTTTGTCCACTTTCTCCACGTGATCCCAGCCCACAGCAGACTTGTCCACCCTGTCCTTCTGTACACCATACTTCCCACCAAAACCTTTGGAGTAGTCTGCAATCATCAAATCATTGGCACATAAGTAACAAAATACTAGACTTGTTGGTCGTTGTTTCCCTTTAATGCCTATGATCATTATGTTTACCGAAGGAAAACATATTGTTTTTGCTCTTCTTCTTCTCCAAACAGTGACCTCTGACCTGACCAATGACATGATTTGTTGACGGCTGTCACCATGGTGACTGGTGTTGGGTTACATAATGTTGCAATTTCATGGTCTGCTCTGCTCCTGTCACCATGTATGGATTAACAGAGCAGACCATGTCCGAAGGTAACATTATGTATTTGCTTTGCAAATGTTACTTCTCTAGTTATAATGATCATTCTGGCATACCGATTTTCTGAAGTGAGGAAAGCCGCGTTAAGTGCCTTTCCCCAGGGCACAAGGTTGGTGACGGTAGGATTTGAACCCCAGACCTCTTGGTTCTGAGTCCAATGTTCTGCCATTACTGAGTCCAATGTTCTGCCATTACGCCACACAACCCCACGACCAAATTTTGTAGTCATGTAGACACATAAAAAGTCGTTTGTGTATTAATAATTGAGATATAAACATATTTTTCAATTTTTAACCTTCTACTTGCTCTATAACTCCATAATCACATGTACAAATTTGGTGCCAAACTGCTACCTTAGCATGCTTAAGGTTAAGGCCTAGGAAAAAATGTTGCGTTTCCTGTTTCAGTGCTAAAAAATTAGGGTTGGTAGGTAGGGATTATCTTCTTTTTTTTCTTTTGAGCAATCTCAGGTGATCCAACTAACAGTTAAATAGAATAAAACTTGCATGACAACACTTATATTTTCAATCATCATGTCAATGTTGGAAAACTTATTGTACAACATTTCATGGTGTCAGATCATGGAGCTAGAAAAGGTTGATCAGCACAACCCAACATCCCCCCCAAAAAAGGCTAGGGTCTGCAGTTTTTTTCTAGGGTCAGTCCAGAAACAGGAAACACAGCATTTTTTTTCCTTGGCCTAACACAAACCCTACCCTGTTGTGACGTGTGTTTCTCCAGTTTCTCCTGATGTTCCCAGCCGACCGCTGACTTGTCCTTGCGGTCAGACTGGACGCCGTACTTCCCGCCGAAACCCTTCGCTGCGTCCAGGACCGAGGAGTGCTTCTCAACCTTCTCAATGTGGTCATGTCCTACAGCCACCTGTGTGAAAAATAAAGGAATAAATGTGACATTTGTATGATTTGTTTGTTTGTTTTGTATAACCAGTATACTACCATTTTAGGCATAACGCACCAGTTTTTTACATGTACAAGTACAAGCTGCGTAAGTGCAGAGCCGCAGACTGTAGGTTTGAACCACTCACTACGGGAAGGTCCCCTACTCTTTTCAATAAGTGCGGTGGGTTCTTTCACGTGCGTGGGGTGTGGCTCTCCCAAACATGAGACCTCCATTTAACGTTCTATCTGAGGGACGTCCTTAACCGAAGCTAGGTACTCATTTTAACAATTGAGTGAAGTGAGGAAAGCCATGTGCCTTTCCGAAGGGCGCAAGGTTGGTGACTTGGCAGGACTCAAACCCAGGACCTCTTGGTTCTAAGCTGAATGCTCTGCCCCACTCAAAAACGTAGTGAGACAAAAATGAAGTAAGTTACTAGTATTTTGAAATTTTGAACCAAGGAAAGACATTCATGTGTCCTTGGATTATAAGACTCCTTCTTACCTTGTCCATTCTGTCCTTCTGTACGCCGAATTTCCCTCCGTAGCCGTACGAGGCTTTCGGACCTTCCTCCAGTTCCTTTTCCTTCACCTTCTGGTGGTCGGAACTCACACCTTTCCTCAGCGCATCCAAGCTAGCAAACACAGGCATGGAGAAATCATGACCCCTAGTGAGCAACTCGCAAATTGCAGGTTCCACAGCCAAACTATTCTTCCACTTATTGTCTCTATATTCACAGTAGCAAAATTTCGCGGTCTGAGAAAATGTTCACAGAACTATATGTTCGCGGTGGTGGCAGTCGCAGAAGAAAGAAAGTCGGTGAATTATTTGTTCGCATTAATGATAAATTTGCAGTACAGAAGTGACCATGAAAATCATGAATATATAAAAGTACCACAAATTGGTTTACAGTAACTGATATTATTAGCACAATGAATGGTGAAACAGTACCAAACTAGAAAGCCGACATTTGCTTGGGAGCAAATACAGCATATTTCAGTCCAACATTAATATGTGGGTCATTGCGCACGTCGTACGTGCAACGTGACCCCAGGTAACCCGCAATGGAGCACATGTTCCATGGCCAACAGCAGATGGAACGGGCCATTCTTTAGATGGAACATGGAACGGGTATAGCACTTTGGCCCTTTTTTGCCTGAAAATAGCCATTAAAGTCCCCCAAATGAGTCATTTGGAAGTGGTGTATGTCAAATATGTGACTGCTATTCTGTATGCACACGTTCAAGGTATTCTTACTGTATAGTGAATTTCAGATCATTACATGTAGGTTGTAATACCATGCAGGGCTCAGGATCCAAAAATCCATTTTTTGTCGAAAAATGCCCCAAAAAAACCTTCATAAAAATTTTTCAAAGGCATGTATAAAAAAATTGGACTGAAATATAAATATCACCTACCTTATGGACTCATGATGCCCGGATCCCTCGATGGTTTTGGCTCCCCAACGCTGCTCCTGTTCACTTACATCATTCTACAGAGTACAGACACAATAGCACAGTCAAAGCACAGTCACGTTTGCTTAGCATTTCATGGAGAATTCTATGGGCTAGAATTCTATTCCACCCCCGAGGACAGACAACACTTAAGCTCCTGTCCTGTATAACAGGAGCTTTCAGACTAATTTGAATCATCTTGTCTTGACTTGTCTGACTTTTGTTCCTTTTTCGACTTCCAAAAATTTGTCTTCACTTTATTTGCATATCAATCAACAGGTTGTGTATATAAACCTGCTTTCCCCTCTGGTCTCTCAGTCACTGACGAAAGCTAGTGGATACTAGCTGAAACGTCTGACGTTTTCAAAATCATATCCAGTTGCTTGAGTAACTGTTTTTTGGCATATCTATGGGCTTACATTGTAAAAAAAATATCTACTAATAGTACTATGATTTATGCTGGAGGAAGAATCAAGCAACTTCATTGTCATTCAAAACTAAGAAAACATTAGCCAAAATTATTTTCTGACAGCTAGCACTGATATGTTGTGAGAACAAATGCATTTATAACTTGTACTCAAATTACTAAGTTACATGATGTATTAAATTGCATTACTGAAAGTATAGAAATACAACTGCATAATCTATGCTTTCTAACTATTGCTTTCTTTTGTTTAATAAATGTATACATGCCCGGTGTCTGATAATGTCCTTTAAGAAATCATAACTGACTTATCGCCTACTTAAACTAAGTGCAGAGGTTGGTTAATATTAACTAACCACAAAGTCGGGGTCTGTCTCCCAGTCATCATCATCACCGTTGTCCACCACAACGTTGCTTCCTACTTGTGCTCGCCACATGGTGAACTACTAGTACACTGCTGTATAAATCACACAAGGAAGATTTCAGACAAGTGGTCAGAGGACAACACCATTTCCAACTACGTATTATACATATGAATGAAGACCTTTATTGTATACACATATCATTAGATAGCTTTAAACAATGTTTAGACTTAATTAGAGTTAGATGTTCAAGGGTTAGATGTAACAAGCCGTTTAGTGTATATATAGCCAGTGCCGCCGCGCCGCGTGCCTGCGAAGCTGGTGTGTTACACTGAAGGAACAACACACACCAGGAAGAACCTCTGGTCACAAGCAGTGCCAACTTTTCTATTCAAATATACTTTTATTGTAAATGCAAGATATATCAAGGAAGTTTTAAAATTTTGAATATAGTACGTAGTTATCCTTGTCGGATTATATATTGACTTCCAGCTTTATTCTCATTCTGTATCCCTTAAAACTGTGTGATTCAATAATGTAACGTTAGATCATGAAACGCTGGAGAAAAAAAGCCACATCCTGTCAACTCAAACAAGGAAGGGGGAGGGGGGCGGAAACCATGTAGGTCTTCACTAAATCTCTTTGACAATACCCATTTCACAGCTCGTCCTGTTTCACACTATTTGTTTCTATAACAAGGTAGGGCGTGAGGGTGTACATGCAACGAAGAAACCTTGTTAAAAACACAAATTTCCGCGATTTGGAGGGCAAAACTGAGATCTTTCTTCAAGATTTGAAGTTAAACAGAGCTAGCAAAATATATACGCTATCAAGCTAAAAACCGTACTTGCTCACACACAAAACATCAACAACGCACAAAAAATACATTCTTCAATGGCTCCAGTAGTATTTTCAGGTTTCCAAGGCTACAATCTTGCCATATAACGGTTAAAATACGTCAGATTTTGTGCAGAAATTGCGGAAATCGTACCTTTTTTCCTGCAAAGACTCGCCTCCCAACTTCACTTCCTGTTTGGAGGTGAGTCACATGAGTGGAAATACTCGCCTCTGATTGGTCGGCTGCGGGACTGCGTTTTGTCTGACCACGACCTTTGACCTCAAAATTATGATTCTGTGATCACGATGATAAAGTTGTGAATTATTGAAATAATTAAATAAAATTATGAGTCCAGTAATCAGCTTTTCTAGAGCTGTTTTTCAAGATCTCATATTAGGGAATACATTGCTACAACCACCCCTTACTCTTACCCCCCTTATGTGCATTTATGACCCCCTCTATTAATTGTTTGTACATGTGCATATATTACCCTTGTTCTCTGGTTTATTTTCATTGATATATTATATATCAGCCGATCCCTAGCATTCGAAACAGGCAGGAAGAAGCCTTACTCGACTGTAGACGGTATCAAGGTATCATGGTATTTGAGCAAAGGGGTCGTCAGTTTCAAGTTTTCAACACATGGACGCTTGTCTCCGCATTGTTCGTATAAATTCCTTTGTTTCATTATTAACCCCACAGGATTTACGTGGGGCCCACAAAAATTACTCTAAAACATCAGAGAACACTTTGGAGCAAATACAGCATATTCTCATTTTAGAGAAGAAGAAGATAAATCATGAAAGTCGCAACCTGCAATGTACCACCACAGCCGTAATATGAACAGTGGCCCTTGTAGAATATGATATTCATTTTTCTATCATTTTTTAAGATTCTGATCAATATTTTAGCATGGAAATCACAAAATCAACATTCTAAATAAATACAATGTCTTGAAACTGACAGAAATATGACATGGTTGATTTAATGGAGTAGAATATAAGAAATAAATAAATTATGTTAATGAGGAGGGCGTTAACTGACGGAAGGCATGAATGATATCCATGTTCGCAAGTACATAGATTTTCTCCAATATTATTTTATTAAAAACAAAAGAGCTTTTAAAGCAGTTTGCTACTAAAGCATTCCGAAGACAGAGAGCTGACGAAAGAATAAGAATTTATCATTAATTATTTCATGCCCATGTTCTTTATGTTTAATAATTGTATACAGCCTATGTATAATAGCTGGAAGCAACATTGGCAGCAGCATTTAGTATTTTGCAAGTTAAGTTGCCTCCTTTCCCAGGTTTAAATACCTGTCAAGTAATCATTCATTTCAAATTCTCTTCTCCAAATCGCTACGTACGGTATAGGAACGCCACTGTTACTCAGCGGAATAAAGAAAAACTGCAGCAAGGGTTGTTAGCTTCTTGATATTGATTGCAATCGAATAGGTTGTCTTACAAATTCTAAAATACATGGATTTTCATTTGGTGTATAACCCACGTACATACAACTAAGCTGGACTAGGAAAACTCCCAAAGAATTATATTAATATTCATATTAATAGCTTTAAAAAGCTTACATGAAGTTTTCCCCACTTTTAGGGAAAGGAAAATCATCCACATATGTCTGAAACCAACCTAAGAGCCCCATTTTTGTGAAGAGATGTAAGAAACTCATATTCAATATTGAAGTGGTGCCTAGTTTTGTGATCAACCGGGATGTGGTCATAGTAATGATAAGACAGCGTCCTATTGCGCATGTCCGTGGTGAATGGGTAGAAGCCGTACAGGGTGATGACGTCACAGAACGTCGTTCCCAGGATGTAAGCCATGAGCCCGGATGTTGGAAAGGTCAAGTTGGGGACCAGTGGGCGTAACACGCTAGGAACATAGAAAAACGATGACGTTGAACAAGTATTGATACAAGTATCCATCGAACTATATATCGGTCAAACTATTCATTCACATAACGTTATATCTCATCTATCCATATTCTAAATCAAATATTTGTAATAAACTCTTCTCCAACTCAAGAAAAGTGACTGACCAGGAATTTTCGATCAAGTGACTCGAGAGAAGTGAAGGAAGCTATTTACATCAGGGCATACCAACCTTCGCTCAACCGGGACGGGGGGCGTAACCGACTTCTTACGAACTTTGACCCAATGCTGACGTCACACGTGCGTAAAAGTCATGTGTTCACAGCACTAGGGTCAGAAAGCTTAAAATTCCTGGTGAGTCAATCTCATTACTGAGTATTATCTCATTTAATGCTTATTATGTATTTTACCAACTGAGATGAACTTTGATACTAACTAAAGTATCTGTTTTGCTTTCCCAATATAATCCCCAAGTAGGTCTTAGCTATCTTACCGAGTGGTATGATATGGCAAATATTGCATAGAGTATGTGACTGAGATGTTCATGTTGCTCTGTGCCAGAGTGGTGTCCAGTGCTCGCAGAGATTCCTTCACTCTGTCTGTAAACGCTTTGACATAGCAGAGAACACCGTGCTTAAGATACGACAGGCTTTCCAAGACTTCTTCTCGTTTCGTGTTGTCTGATAGCTTTCCCAGGAGGTTTTTAGCAAGGACGAAGTTGAGGAAAGCCATGTTCGTCTTCGTTCCTACGTCCTGTAGAAGTGTCAAAACAGAAGTGTCAAAACAAGATGTCGATGATTTCATACCTTCGACATGTATGAGTTTGGGTTGTCAGAGATGTTCTGCTGTATATAGCTTGACTTTTATTTTGCTGGTATGTAAACCAAAGGATGTGTGCAATACATAACTCGGGGTACAGAAACACACGTTACCACATGGTTACACGAGATTTTTTCCTGTATAAGGCCATGTTGATTTGATTATATGGATGACATCCTCCGGGAGCCCCAAAACTGATGCGCGCGTGCGAATAAAAAAAAAGTTTTGACAAAAAAAAAAGTTACTTTTCATTTATGAAATCTACGTGGTCATGAGGGTTGAGCAAATGGTACAGACTATGGTTTGGCGAATAATCTAGTCTTCAAGTTCATTTGGCATT